TGCTTCTGTTACGATAGATTCAGGGCTTGGCTAAGCTACTTCTCCCCTCATAGATCTCTTGTGCATGCCGTGTGCCTTAGAATTACTCCATCCAGCAATTTCTCTGTGCTGACAGCTTGGCTCACAGCATTCATCTGGAATCCTAGTTGTGTAACTCAAGGCCAGAGCAGACATTAGTTTAGATCCATATCTAGCAGTGCGAAATCGTTAATTTGACTATAGAGTGGGCTCAGGGTGTCTAATCTGGATCAAGACCCTTTCTACAATAAAGAAAAGGGGAGCTGCTGTTGTTGATATATATGTACTTAAAGTAGTCCTTGTATCAACAACGTAAAAGCTAGAAACCCAAATTTGTAACAAAGCCATTGTAGATACAGTAAACCTAAGGGAAGATCGGGTGCCCCCTCCTCATGCAGGTGCTTTCTGTTAGTGTAGAACCACTATCATGTGTGTGACACACACACACACCCTCTCCATTCTTCCCCTCTTTCTATATAGGAAAAGCTATATATAAAAATGAAAGGTTTTGCTCTACCCTTCCCTTCTATCAGTCACAGAAACCAGAGAGCTTGCTCAGGCCCACACATGTAGCTTCAGCTATTTTGCAGCATCAGCAGCTCCTAAATAATTCACCAGGCCCCTTTTCAATATTCAAATATTATTACCAAATGATATTAGCTACTACTTGGTAATGGGATGGAGGGTGGTGAAGCCCAAGCCAACTATAAATTAATAGTCCCTGTTCATCTTCTGACTTCCCAAGGAACTGACTGGGAATGAAAACTGACCTTTAAGTTTGGATCAAGTATTAGCCACACTGGTGTGATGAACACAAAAGGTGGCTCTGAGACTCATTTGACCAGTTCTGCTGGGGTATTGGCTTTGAGGTGTTACCCAAAGACCATCTGAGGGTACCTCTACTGAGCATTGTAGGGATTAGCCTAGAATCTAGATAGTAGCATCTCATAGTTTTGAAATTGTTCTGTTCTGATCTTTTTGCTTTGTGGACTACAAATTAGCCAAGAAAACCACACAAACCTGGTTATAATGCCCTTTATTAAATAATGCTCTAACAGCATTAGCTGTTTACTGAGTTCTGGCAGTTTCTAAACAGTTAAATCACTTATTTTTCGGACTGCTTGATTCAGCCTTGATTTTAAAAACATGATAAAATATGTTTATTTTGACATTAATCCAGTGTCATGCTAGCTGAGTTCCTCCAGCTCTCCTTCCAAGTGCATGCCTCCATGCTGCCTCAAAATCTGTCTGGAAAGTATCTGAGCCTTCCAGAGAAGATTGTGACGGTTCAGACAAGGCTGTGCAGGCAGGGGGGACAGATTTCTCCTTCATAGCTCCACTGATGGAAATAGTTCTTTCAGCAGAATGACAGCACTGGATCTAGCCCCAAAGAATTCTGTGTATGCGCATATATGTATACATGTTCACACACCGAAACAATATTTAATATTTCAATAAACAATACCAATGATGTGTTCAAGTCCTTTGCTCCAAGTCCCAAGTCTTTACTTTCAAGTCCAAGTCGAACTTCAAGTCATTGCAAGAAATTTTCAAGTCTTCTCAAGTCTCAAGAGCCAACTTTAATGAAAAAGGGGGAAGTGAGGGGGTGGGAGAGTTGTAAACCACCACCCCCAGTCCTCCCATCTGCACTTCTCTCAGTGATGCAATGAAGTCCTTTACTTCAACCACAATTTATTTAAACAAACATAAAATCTCTATGCTGCCCCCACCCCCTTGAAACTCCCTCCTTCCCACTGCCTCTGCTGTGTTCGTGTCTGTCTTCCAGGGTATTCTGGCACATGGTTAGCCCTGGATCAACTCAGTCATAAAAAATATAGAAATCTCAAGTCGAGTCAGTCGCTTGTTGCTCTCAAGTTAAGTCCAAGTCGAGTCACTGGGGCACCAAGTAAGTCTGGTCATTACTGTCACATTCCTTGAATTTTGTCAGAGATGAACAGTACTGCATGGCAAAACCCATCTTGTTGAGACTCAGAAAGGTATAACCTTAGCTGGGCCGTGCTGTATTAACTCTTGTAATACTTCCATCATGCCTGTTTCCCTTCTCTGCCATCTATTTTGGCCTGTCTACACCATTGCCTTCCCCCAGGCCTGTCCCAGTGAATGTTTCCTTAAGCATTCCATCAGCTTTCCCTTTGTTCTTGTATCCTGAAGCTAGCTCATATCCAGTTGGCAAAATACTCACACAAGCCAGTGACAAACAGAGAAAGCATATTCAGCGTGACATGACAGTATTTCTATAACCAACACTACACAATTCTTGCTCGAGCATTCAGTTGTCTCCTTTGCTTTAAAGTTTTGTTTTAAATGATAACATTCAGTTTTTACAGCACTTTAGTAAGAATTATCTGGGTATTTTGAAATGTGGGATTGTTTGAAAAGGGTTTTATCTGATGATGTGTGTTTTGCAGCATAGGTGTGCATACAAGTATAACCTGGGCGTTCCTGGTCTTCTTTCATATTCCAAGTTGTATATATTTGAAATTCCAGTGTAAAGCGGTTAGATGAAAGCTTGTTTTCTATTTATAAGTTTAGTGACCAGTTTCATTCCTCTGGGTACCTTTGAATGTGTATTATTTAATGTCATTTATTTTAGAATGCCAGAGGCAAAAACAAAGTGTAGGCACATACATGCACACAAATTTAACACTAGGGACCTCTGACTGCAATCCTTACAAAGCCTCCAGTGGCTTTGATCTTAAGATCTGGAGAATTCAGGGGGCCTTCCAAGAAGGGGTCCTGCTAAAGGAGATATCATCCTAAATAGGTCATTGCATAAGGTTATGGAAGTCAGAGAAATCTACAAGATGTTCAGATGAGTTTGGATGTCTATTAATTAACTTCATCCCAGAGTCATAAAAGAGCTAGAGGAGGAAATCTTAGAACCACTGTCTATTATCTTCAAGAAATCTTGGAAAACAGAAGTGCCAGACAACTGGAGAAGGGCTAACATTGTCCCTATCTTCAAAAAAAGGGGGAAAAGATGTACCTGGGAACTATAGACTAATTAGTCTGACATCAATCCCTGGAAAAATTCTGGAGCAAATTATTAAAAAACCCATCTCCAAGCATCGTGAAGAAAATGCAGTGATTAATAAAAACCAACATAGATTTATCAAAAATAAATCCTGTCAGATTAATCTCATTTTTTGACTGGGTAACCTGCCAAATGGACAAAGGGAAGACTGTGGACACAATCTACCTAGACTTTAGCAAAACTTTTGACATAGTGCCACACAACATTCTGATAAGCAAATTAGCAAAAACTGGACTAGATGGAAAAACTATTAGGAGAATCCAAAATTGGCTGCTAAATTGGACACAACGACTTCTCATCAATGGTACCTTCTCAAATTGGATGTGGGTGCCATAGGGTTCAGTCCTGGGTCCAGTGCTCTTCAACATCTTTATTAATGATTTAGATGACGAAGTACAAGGAAAGATTTGCAGATGATGCAAAACTGGGAGGAACAGCAAACACCCTAAAAGACAGAATGAAGATTCAGGGCGATCTTGATAAACTTGGAACACTGGTCTGAAAGCAATAGAAAGAGATTTGTTAAGGACAAATGCCGAGTCCTCCGCCTAAGAAAAAGACACCAAATGCATTGATACAAGATGGGGAATATGTGGCTCACAGAACTGAAAATGAAAAAGATCTTGGAGTAATTGTGGACAATAGGCTAGTTTTGAAATGCTTGTTTTGTTCTAATGGGTCTCCCTTTTCCAAGTTGAAGGCCTCTCTACTTTCCCATGTTAGCTCTCAGGTAGCCTTTTGTCTAAAAGACAAGCAGCACACTTGATTGTACTTTCCTTCTTGTTCTGCTGCAGTGTACAGGGATGGCTTGCCTGAGAAAAGGCACCTTCCCTGGCTTCCCAGTGGCATTTCTATTGATCTCACAACAATCGAGCAAGATCGGAGATGGGCTTGCAAGCAAAAGCCATTCTTGTTGTTTCAAAAATATTACCATCTGTACAAACCCAAAGCATGCTTAGTTTGAAAAATAAGCCCACAACCTGATCATGAATCAGCCATGACTCTGTAGGAGTATTGTTGGGAAAGCCTTTTTTTTTTTTTTTTTTGCCTGCCTGGGGATACCATGAAGAGAAAGCTGCTGGCTGGAGAAGGCTTCTATTCTAATAGTTGCCCTCCTTTTCTCAGAAAGCAATCAGGAAATGGCTGCATGAGAAGACTTAGAGCGCATGACCCTCACATGGCAGGGTTATGAGAACAGACTCCTTGAGGACTATCTGAATATAAATAGTGTATGTTCAGATAAAAGGTTAAATGTTTGATTCTGAAGATTAAAATTTGCACACTGTCTAAGGGGCATAAACAGGACTTCAAATGCACCAAGACAAGCCTTGACCTCACCCTAAGAAAGGCTTGTCTTGGAGAACATGTGAAAATGAAATGTGATTTTCGAGCACAGTGCCAGCCATTGTTTGCGAGGCATTTAAATCATGGCATGAACCCAACAGGTCAGTAGTACTGTCTGACGGAGGAAAGCCATGGCTGTCCTTCTACCATTGAAGAAGGTAGAAGAACAGCCTGTTTTCTCCGTGTTGTGATGAATGTGAATCATTGTTGTTCTCCCTTTGGCTTTGCTTCAGAGATGGGTGGGGTTTAAAAACAAACATAAAACCATAATGTTTAATTATCCATTCTTTTTGACAGAGCCCTTAGGGTCTTACCTTGTTGTTGCTTTTTGAAACAGAGATGTCCTTTGACATCTTGCCTTGTTTTTGTCTTGTTTTTTAAAAAAAATGGTTATACTTACATGCACCGTTGTTGGTTGATTCTGGTAGGCTTTTGCTGAAGAGGAAGCAAAAAAGATTTCTATAACGCCAAATAACCAAAGCTCAATGAAACTTATTGTGATGGAGAGTCCTTAAATGTGTTTAAGGTGGACTAGTTTCATGCAAAGATCCTTGCCTTTTCCGCCCTCCCTTCCATCTTTCAGGGTCTTTATGTCTTCGTGGTGTATTTTATTCTACACAACCAGCTCTGTTGCCCTGTAAAAGCAAGTTACACAGTTGAAATGAATGGACATACAAGTCCAGGTTCTGCATTTTTCACTCATGGCAGTGGCATGCCCACCGCAGGCGGAGAGATCAGCAAATCTACTCAGAACCTGATTGCTGCTATGGAAGAGGTATATTCACTACTTTATCTCTACATACTAATAATAAATGTACTGTGTATGTGTGTTAAAGCTTGAAATGCAGGAATGATATTGTGAAAATATGTACATCTGAAGAAGAATATGGAGAATTTTTGCAGAACTGGGTGGAGAACTCACCTCTGCCCCAGAGTCATTGGGTGGGTTGACACATTGCAACAAGAAACTCTACCTGGTTTTCAAGTTTTTTGCCTTGATGTGCCTGACAGAGATCAAGTGGTTTTTCTGCTAGTGTGGTTTCTACTGTCCTGGCTTAGTCCTCCTGCTGTTGGTATGTATCCCATCAGCCAAAGTGTCTAAAATTCCATTCCATGCTGGAAAGCTGGAGCAGCTTCTTCAGCTGCCTCTCTTTCCAGCAGACTTTATGGTAGCTGCATACCTAGACTGGAAATGATGGTGCTGCATCCAGACAACTGGAACCATGGGAAAGTGTGCAAACTACAGAACAAACTGTTATTTCTTATTATGGTTTCTGAAAACCAAGCACACTATGCTAAATGGCAGACAAGGCTTGCATAACATAACAAACCATCCTGCACAAGAAGCTAATATGGCTTGTTGTGTCATGCAAACCCATTAATTAGGTAGCCATCTTTCTTGCCTGTATAGCTGAAATAATTGCAAGATGTTGTCAGAGCAGGCATGATAAGCATTGTAAAACAATTTATGTAGTAATTAATTGATTAATATATAGCTAATTTTATGCGATGCATTCTCACCAAGGAAAGAGTGCTTGAAGCAGATCACAACTCACATACATAATGAAGTGGTCTCATGATAGAGGGATCTAAACACTGGGGCTCCACAAGAACTTGCATTGGGATCAGTGCTTTTTAATATGTTCATAAATGATGTGGAGATGGGAATGAGCACTGAAGTGGCCAGGCTTGTTGAAGACACCAAATTATTTAGGGCAACTAAACTAAAACAGGGTTTGTGATAAACTCTGAAAGGATCTCTCTAAACCGAGGGTATGTGTATAAAAATGACATGTGCAATTCAGTTTAAGCAACTGTAAAATCTATGAATGTTGGGGCAAAAAATAGTAACTTCATGTATATGTTGGGACTAACGTGAGTTCACTGATTGATGTGCATAGAAACCAGTCACTGTGCGTGCCTCTCCTCATGCTTCATGGAGAATGTGCATATAATCTCTCCATGAAGAGGATTATGGGCACATTCTGTAGCTATTATATATCACTTCTAACATACCTTGGAGAATGTGCATTTCTCAAATGCGTTTTCACATCCTTCAGCATTGTGCATTGTACTTAATTAAATAGTAAGAACACAAATCTGTACAAATCTACTCTGAAATAAACCCCACTGAATTCAATGGGACTTGCTTCCAATGCAGTGAATAGAAGATTGCATCCTCAATCCGAGAGTAAGCCCAACTGAAACTAATAGAATTGCTTCTGGGTAGACTTGTACAGGATTCCACTGTAATACTTTCATTTCATTTCATTTTTACACTGCCCAGTAACCAAAGCTCTCTGGGCAGTTTACAAAGATAACGATTACCTCTTTAAAAATGCACTATAAGAAGCGTACAGACATACAAATACAACATGCACATATCTCTAAAACAATTCTTACGCTATCAAGAACAAGAAAAGAATCCAGGACCCAACTGAAAATGCTTCATATGCTACTGAATGCCTGAGAGAAGAGGAAGTTCTCAATCTGACATCAAAAAGATGATGGTGTTGGAGTCAGACGGGTCATTCCATGATTGGGGATCTACTTGCCGAAGGTCCTCTCCCTCTGGGTCACCTTCTGAGCCTCTCTTGGAGGAGGTACCTGAAGGAGGGCCTTAGATGATGCATGTACTAAGCATCCAGGTGTTCATGCTGGGAGAAGTGCTCCATCAGGCATTGTGGCCCCATGCCTTGTAAGGCAACACAGGTCAAAAGCAGCACCTTGAATCAGACTCGGAAGCATGCAGGCAGGCAGTATAGGTAAGACAGGATCGGGGTTCTGTGTTCAGACTTTCCCATGCCTGTTATCTGTCTGGCTGCAACCTGAACAGGTTACCCTGGCTGGCTGGGTCTTGCTGGCAGTTGGAAGATTTTTTTCCTGCCTAAATATATGCATTGTGGCATTAAAGGTTTAAAACAGTGCCTTGAAGTTAGCTCAGAAATAGGCAAGTAGGGTCAAAGGGAATTCATGGTGTCTGCTGATTGTTTCCACCTCTACTGCTGCCTTTGATATTTCTGGACCATCTCCAAAGCCAATCCCACCTCTACCACAATATAGCAGCAAAGTCTACATGGTCACATGGTACTCAAAGTTGCTGGCTGAACCAGCCAAAGTGAGGAAATGTGTTCCTCACGTTTTCTGTCAGCTGGGTGTCCAAAAACCATACTGGGTCCATGTTGCCTTTCCTAACTGAAAAAACTGAGATCACCATATACAGCCGTATGTGTTTGTTGCGTGTGCACTTACTGCTCCTTTTACTCAGCGCACTGTTTTATTAACTCAGCAAACCCTGAAAGGCTGTGACTTGCTGAAACTAGCCAGGGCCAGATGCCTTTGTTCACAGAGTTCTGGTGTTTTAGAGAAATTCTACAACAGCTGGAAGGTGAGAGGAGAACCCTTTTCCCATATTGCTTTCCCAATGGAAAGTCCGACCAATTCTAACCCCCCAAAACTGTTGTAGGACAGCAAGAGAGCAAATCAAACATAATGGGTACTTTGGCCCATAATGAGTTTCACAGCTAAGCAGGATCTGGGCTGGTGATTTCCACATCCAAATCCAACTATAAAACAGCATTGTTGGTTTAGTGGCGGCAGCAGCAAAGTAATTTACAATGAATTTCTAACAGTCAAAAGCAAGTGACATTATTCTGAATATAGCTGAAATATGAGCAAAGGTTACATTTATTTATTATTAAAACACCCCACTTTTAACTGCAGGAGCTCAGGAGGCTAGCAGCAGTAAGTTAAAACAATAAGTAAAATAATAATCCACTAAAGGCTTTTATAAAACAGTAGGAGAGTGGGGAAAGTGGGAGAGAGTACAAATAGCTGTCGAGAATCATTTCACTAGTTTTTTTAAAAGAACAAAATTGACACTTCAGTAAAGGAGCAATCAGATATGGCCCAAAAGCCATCCTTAAAAAGGAGACGTCTTAAAGAAGGCTTGGAGAGAGGCTAAGGCATTCCTCCCTTGCACATGATTCTTCCTAGCTGTGGAAGAGGTTCCCTTCTAGGTCCCAACAAAATCTATCACTCTGTAGGACAATGGTGCATTCAGGCGGGCCTCTCTTGATTTTCGCAATGAGCAGGCAGGGTTGCAGGGGGAAAGGCGGTCCTTCTGCGATCCTTGTCTTCAAACGTCTTCAAACGTCAGCGGGCAGTGTTGCGGCTGTAAAACTTACTGCTCCTTCTACACCGCTTTGATCTCTCCATAAACTCTTTGGTCGTTAGCTGTCCTATTACAGAGTCCATGATAGATACACATGGAAATTAGGCCACAGCTCGCTTCCAGTTACAGAGTTCACATTTTCGATGTTTGTAGTTCTAGCAATTAGTTATTAGACAAAGAAAGGTACCTTGGCAAGAACAGAAGTGCATCAGTTCACCAAGAACAGTTTGTGTGACCAGCTACCTGCCCTGAGGGAGCAGGGAAGTGTCGTTACAATAAATTCTTAGGGCATGAACCTGTGGTCTCCTAACTGTGTGGAGTGCAGAGAGCAGAAAGTCAAGGGTTATTTGGAGTCCCAGCTCCTAGATCCCGTGATCTCGGAGCTGGGATTCTGCAAGCGGAACCCCCACTGGGCCACCTTTTCAGCCAACATGGAAAGAACTGTACTGACTCCCTCCCACCAAAGTGCCTCAAAGGGGGGGGGGATACAGGTGTGCCAGGGAGTGGGGAGAGGAGAAGGCTGGGCCAAAGACTTGCACTGGTTCCTGTAGACATCCCAGTATCCTCTCCTTCCCCACCTCAGTATTTTCCCTAGATAGCTGAAAACATCTAGTTAAAAATCAAGGCATGATGGACCACAAAAACAGAGTCATGGCTTCTGCACCTCCTGTGGGGCACAGGAGCCACATAAGTCTCTGAGTTCAGAGGTCTCATGGGTGCTGGCCATAGGATTGTGCCCTCGATTGTGCCCTTCGATGTTTGGTGTGGTGCAGTGACTGAAGTGTTGGACAGAGAATCAGGAGCTGCGAGTTCCAGTCCCCACTCAGCCCTAAAACTCACCAGGCAACTTTGGAACAGTGACTGACTCTCAGCCTAGCCTGCCTCACAGGGTGGTTGTTGTGAGGATGGAATAGAGAGGAGGGAAACCTTGTAAACTTTCTTGGGTTGCTTCCAAGAGGAAGAAAGGCAGGCTAGAAATGTAATGTAAAAAATTACTGTTTGGGCAGAAAAAGTCTGACAGCTCCTGGCATTCTGCAGCCATTTATGCTAGGAATGAATGCTGGATGCTGCAGGACCTTTTCTGGCAAATTATACACAGGATTCCTCTTAAAAGATTAATGGTCAGAAAGCAAGTGCTTTTCATGGAAAAATGTCTTCCATGCGAAGAGGTATTTTTAGGGTGACATGATATAGTCTTAGCTTCTCTGGCTCTGGGAACATTGTAAGTTAAATAGTTTTGATGTTGCTTTGGCAGCGTGTACATTGGTAGGGCCAGAATGTTAGAGGTAGACTTTTGCATCCTATAAATTCGCAGCATTTATATCCTGGTTGAGGAAATCTGTACCCCGGCTGGGAGGATGATGTGTGCTGTGACACCAGGGCTCTCAGAGATGGAGCCCCAGCACTTTTGATTGGCAGGGATGCCATGTTGCCTGCCATCCCTCCAGCTTCCCTCTTGCCCTGCCCTTCGCTGCAATCCTCATAGTAGCTGGGAAAGTGCATTTGATGGAAATGTGGTGATTTCATTGTTGCAATGCAAAGTATTTGGGGGCCACTGGGTTTTGAATGATAATTAGCATGACGAGAGGCCAGCGACTAGTGGAGATTAAAACTGCTAGAACTGTTTTGATATGGGAGAACAACTGCCTCAATTTCGGGACTCTCCTTGAGTGTGTGGCTACAGAGACTCATGGCAAGAGCCACATTTCCAAAGTGACCCACTGTTCTCACTGCTTTTGTCAAGATGCCGGCAGACTGGGAGAGGGCATCTCTGAGGTCACCCAGCCAGGCCAGTGCTGTCTTTAAGCCGAGCCCACAGAACGGCAGTGCCTACACAACTCCTGGAGGGTTCAGTAACAGTTCCTTGGTGGCTGATGAAGAATCACAAGAGTTTGATGATCTAATATTTGCTTTAAAAACTGGTGAGTGCATGTTTTCTTCTTCTCAAAGGACAACGTGTAATGCTTTGAAATACAGCTATTTTTGCTAATGCATTCCGACTGGCAATTCAAATTAGATCAAAAATCTTTTTGCACCAACATTTATTTCCTAGAGTCAATATGATAATTATTTAAAACAGCTACAAATACAAATTGAATTCAAAAGCATTAAGCTTTTGTCTGCAGATATCAGGAAACAAAACTAGTCTGTAATGTTTAGGCCAAAATCCCATACACACTTATCTGGAGTAAGTCTCATTCAACTCAGTGGGGGTTACTTTGGAGTAAACATGTACCTCATTGCACTGTTAATGGATTTTCCCAAGTGCTTGACTTCCTCAAGCATGTAGGAAAGAAAGAAACCATATTCTTATAGAAGTATAATTCCTATGATACTGTTTCACACCTATACCACATATATCACACATATACCAAGATACTATATATCTTAAAGAAATGTCCTTTGGCTCCTGCCTGTATGCATTTGTGTGGCAGAAGTATGTGCACCAGAAGGTTCCCAGGGCATATATGGAGAACAAGCTTGTGGTCTAAGAAACAAGTTGCATTGACTCTGGGAAAGCTGTACAGGCTTCAGGGACTTACAGCAGTAAAAGAGGCACATAACATGGAAGTCACAGTTGACTAGGAAAGCAGGCCAAGAAGCAAGGAACGGCCCTCATGCAAAGCACAGGAAGTGGCCTGTGCTTCAGGCAGAAAGAGACCGTTATATAAGGGTAAGGAGGGACCAGAGGGCAGAAATAAGGAAGTTGCGACTGGGGCTGTTTGGATATGCAGGAGGCACATAGCCAGCAAAGGTGAAATGATTGTTAGAGGAGCAAATATACTACAAACACCTAAAAAGACTCAAACTCATCAAGTGTTTGCAACTACAGATATACCATCATTGCAGTGTGTGTCATTGCAACAATCGTGATACTGTCAAAAGAGCTGTTTAACTGGGCACATGTGAGCCTAGGCCGCCCTTCCCCAACCTGGCATTCTGCTGCTAAATTGGACTACAACTCCCATCATCCCCATACTGGTGGTGGAGGAGGGGGGCTTTTGTCCAACATAGCTGGAGCTCCCTAGGTTGGGGAAGGCTGGCATAGGGTCTGGGCTCAGCATGAAAGGTCCTTGTTCAGATGGTGAGATCAGATCCTGAACAACCTGTGCCGAGTGCTGGAACGCACTCCCTGGCCCATTCAGGCAGCAGGTGGTGCTACAGGGGCCCTGTCAACCGCAGGCCAAGCCGCCAGTCAGCACGCTTTTTGTTTAGAACTTCAGCTCAAACGGGAAGCAAAGTCTGCTTCAGATCCCAGGGTTTCCTTTTGTGACTGCAAGATGGGCAGAGCTGATAAAGAAGCTGAGCTACTGCTATTAGCAAGGGAACATGAAAGGAAAACTTCGCCATTATTGTAGGAAATGTGTGGGCACAGTTTTCTCAGAACGCACATTCCCAGTGTGAAATCATGTACAAGCTTTGGTTTGAGAACAAGCTGGCCATATGAACTCTTACCCTTCTGTGGTAAACACTTCTAGTCTAGTCTTAGCAGCCTGTCTGTGCACAGATAATTGCTTCACAGAGAGATATTCAAACATAATACAATTATCACAATCTAAAGATTTAATTTCTGACCAAACAGGGATTTTCTAAATAAAGAGATATCTTGTTATGTTGAAGAGCCCGTAGAAGCAGCAACTTCAGTAGCATCATAACCTTGCTTAACAGAAAGATTTAAAATGTGCAATTCAGGCTGTTGAGTGAATCTTGTGTTGCATTTTTTAATGGTGGCTAGCAATTCTGGGCATTTCACAGCAGGACATTTCTTCAGTTCCCTAGCCCCATCTTGGACCTTTTCTGCACCATTGTTTTATATACCAGTTCAGTCTCTGCAGAATGAATTTTCCCTTTTATGCGGAAAAGGGCAAGTATGGACTAAGATACCCCAGTATTTGTCAAGTACTGTACTTCGATTGTAGAGCTGGATTGACTAAAAGGATACAAAATGCCGCAGAATCTGAAGTCCACAGATTTGTGGAAGACCTAAAAATATGGCTTACAAAAGTCAGGTAGCCACAGATGGTAAATAACACAGAAAGCATTTAAGCTATGCTCAGTTCAAGATTTGTCTTTTCCTCAAGATGTTTCAACAGATTATTTCATTCTCTCCCCTTCAGGGAACAGAGTCACTCTCTTATTTAGAAGTTACTGGAGGAGAATAGCTGAACACTATCACTATCATTCCCTAAAAGTTAAAAAGACAAAAGGAAAAAGATGAGTAAATATGGGCAGCAAATGGGCTTGAATAAAGTGAATTCTAACATGCCAAATTCACCCTCTGATTGGCATTCCATAATGTATTTGTTAAGTGAGAAACTGGCAACAATGGTTTTCTGTAGCCATAGAATAGCCAAACCTCAGTGAGCAAGATTGGCTGATGATACAAATCATTTGAAATCCATGAATCTGCAACTGGAATCATGTTGCCAGCCCATTGGCCACTGGTCATGTATAACTGGATATGCTGGAAACTCATTTCTGGCATTAATTCCTTTTGAGATCACCATGTTGAATTATGCTTGTATGCATTTCTAAATCAGCAGGACATTCAAGTCTTGAAACAGGGTTTGGGCAACTTTTTAATTCTTTGTTTACTTTCCCTAGAACCAGAGCACAGCGTGTTCTCTGTCTGTGCCACTTGCAGAAGAAATTAGATGGAGAGGAAGAGAGGAGAGAAAGCAGGACTCTTCTGTCTTCTTTTTAATTATGAACAAGTGAAACCTCATTGAAGCTGTTTATGCCACCTGCCACTTGAAATGCATCTCTGTAGAGAAAATTCAGTGGCACACTGACAAACTAGTCTTATCTTGATGTAATGCTAGTGAAAGTAATCCTTCAGCCAGTACAGGCTGAGGCTAAGCTCCCTATTGCTCTGAGGGAACACGGATGGTATCCTACAGAGGCAATTGCTTCTGAAGGACTAGTTCCCTGTGCAGGCATTTTCTTTGCAAGTCAAAACTCTGGAAGGGCAGGGAATGAAAGGAGCTCAGGAAGGTGCAGAAGAAGTGACTGGAATTCCTCTTCCTATCCTGTGCATGGCATGTACATTCAATGCTTTCTGCTCATAAAAGGCAACAGGGTTCTACAGAGTGTGACCTGAGGGACTCTTAGTGGAAGGAGGATAACAGGATGAGCAAAGAAATACAGGAAAATAGAACTGCTTCCCCTTGTCAAAACCAATTAAAAAATGGCCGCCTAAGGGAAGCAAAAAGGCAATATTGCTGAAGAGCAGAGCCTCCTCTGTAAAAAACACATAAGCTTGTGTGTCATATATAAGTGCAGTTTATGGATACAGAAGTCCAAAGTGGGCAGAAAGATGAGGAGGAGAAAAAGAAGATCCCAAAGTGCACTAGAAAGAATGACTTTATTAAGGTGTAAGATGTTTGGGGCAAACTGTACTTCTGGAGATTTATTACTCTTGCATACAGAGTTGGGTTTACTATGTCTTGATGAGTTTGTCCCTGCAGTTCAAAATGCATTGGGCCTTCAGCAGTCCCAAGGCCACCCCTTAGTTCTCTTTTTTGTACAAAACTCCAGACCAAAAAGAGAGGATATATTTATACTGGGAACAGGAAATCTGATGTCAAGATAAAGACATACACAAGCTTGCTATTTCCAGGACATGCTGCTGCTTTTGTTCCACATGCCACCTCTAAGCATGTCTTGCTTTCTGTGTTGCAGGTGCAGGCCTCACTCTTGGTGACACTGAGTCCTGTCTTGGCAGCCAGGATGGAGGCACCATGGCTAATTCTCAGATTGTTGAGCTTAGAAGAATACCCATTGCAGACACTCACCTCTAGGACCCCCATCTTGTTTTTCCTTCTCTTTATTCCAGTCTCCAAGTTTTAGATCTGTATTTTCCTTTTGCACTAAAAAAACTACCCACTACATACAGCTGTGTAGTAGAATGCTGTGAACTATAGCTTGGCAATTAACAAGAAGGATTGTTGTTTGTTTGTTTGTTTTGTAAATGAGGAAGGACACCTTGTAAAGTCATTCGGCAAGCAACTGGCTCAGATTTGAACCCATTAATATAGATGCACATATTCCATCAGGTGTAGGCTTTAAAAAAATAACCCAAACGTGTATGACTGTTTTAATAAAGTCTGATAGAGTTGATCTAATGGAGATTTTGTGTATTTGTTCTTGCGGCTAGCCAGTATTCAGAATTATGCCATTTGTAGAACTGCCAATTATTTTAATTCTACAGATCAGTTTCAACATGTGCTACCTTACTTTTTCTTCACAAAACAGTGTCATTTCTCTTCCCTCATAAGGTACATGATAATCTTACCTGGCATAATTTGTATGGGGAGGAAATCAGGCCATGGGCAAATGATAAGAAAATGTTTACTATACAGGCTATGTTTAGTAGTTTAGTGTTTAGTTTAGTTTTAGTTTAGTTTAGTTTAGTGTTTAGTTTAGTTGTTTAGTTTAGTTTAAAGAAACCTATTGCTTAATGTCAAAGCTCTGACATATCATAGAATCATAGAATAGTAGAGTTGGAAGGGGCCAAGAAGGCCATTGAGTCCAACTCGCAGCTGTTGCAGGACACCACGTTACACCATCCCACACAGATGGCTGTCCAGTTTCTTTTTGAATGTCTCTAGTGTGACCCTGCTTGGATTGGCTTGCAGCTGTGGAAGAAATACAGATCCTTTTTCATGCCATTTCACAAAAAATTGTTACCTGGGCAGAAGAGGCAGGGGGAGGGAGGGGGAAGGGAGGGAGGGACAAACACTCTGTGAAGGGGACAACAGGTGGGGTCATGCTCTCTGGCTCGGCATCACAGCCATATTCTCACTGTCCCTGCCTTTGCCTTCCGTGCCAAAGGATGGCTTGGTCTGAAGCCAGGATTCTGCTATACATACACGAGATTGCCAAATAATTTAGAAACCAAGTCGCACCATTCCTAATTGCATGGGGGGTCTTTATCCTATCTAAATGGGAAGCCTGGAGGAAGTTGCCTGTAACATGGGCTTCCTGTCTGTTTTCAGCCCTGTTGGACAAAGCAGGAGTTGCATCAGGACCTTGGATAGCTCAGCGCAGCACATGCCAGCTGAGGTATTACTCTAGAAGGAGCTGTTGTCCCAGCAAAGGATTGCAGTCAACAGAGGAACAGGCAGGTCTCAGTGCTTCAGTGGCTCCACTCCTGTTGGATGCTGACTGCACTTCCTGAAAGGACCACTGTCAATTCCTGTGGGCTCTTGCTCCTCCAGGGCTAAGGAACCCAGTCATCTGCAGGGGAACCAGGTTCAGAGTTGGCTGATTAGAGAGTTCTGCTGGGAGAGTCATGCCCACATTTCACAGGCTGCTGATTGGATGCTCCTGACTTCTCAATTATTCTATTATGTATTTATGTATTTGTGTTATTTCTATACTACAGCTAAAGCTGTCTGGGCAGTTCACAACAACACATTCAATGGAATATAAAATGCAGGTAATAATAAAAGTATTACTGAAACATGGTTTTCCTGTCTATATAGCAGCATAACAAGGCTACCAGTCAGAGATGGTAGAAGGTACTCCATGTCACTGAAAACACTTGAGGCTCAAGTGACAAAGATGGAGTGCAACCCTATCCAGAATAAATTGAGCATTCTCCATCTAGTCAGGGAAACCAGCCACCAACAGCATCTCTGTATTGTCTGGGCTGAGCTTTATTATCCCTCAGCCAATCCACTGCCACAGTCAGGCAGCAGTTTAGTAACATAGAAACATAAAAACAGAGCGAGTCAGAAGGGACCTCCTGGGCCATCTAGTCTGACCCCCAGCTACAGCTGTCTCCGCTCATGGCATGCCCACCATGTGCATGTCCAGTGTATCTTTGAACACCTCACCGATGGGGCCTCAATGACCTACCATGGAAGCCCATTCCATACCCTCGGGGTCCTAACTGTCAGGAAGTGCTTCCTGGCATCTAAATGGAACCTTGAACCTTAGTACATCCATTCCATTCTGTTCCTTTCCATTCCTATGCTGCCCCATAACCCAAAGGTTCTCCGGGTGGCTTACAAATGCTAAAACAGCATAAAAACATACACAGAATACAATAAAAATAATAATCAGATAAAATAGATAAAGGAATCATAGATAACATCACATAACCTAACTTTGCTTTTTTTAAATTATTGACTTCCGCAATATTCTTCACTTATACTTCAAATCCAGCCTAGCTGGTTAGCATTAACTTAACAAAGGCTTTCAGTTAGAAAGCCATTGCCCAGATTTGCTAGGAAGCGGGCGGGGGGACCCATAGCCTCACCTTCTGAAAATGGAAAGAAGAAACAGCTGCATGTGTCTCCAATATATTTAAAGCACAATCTTATAGTTCCCCTGCGACATTTGGCTCCCCATAGGATTTTTCAAGCCTGAGCACTGAAGGCCTATGATCTTGGTGCCCAGAATCCAAAGTCCACATCCCTGCCCTGCCCTGCCCTGCCCTGCCCTCTTGCAGCTGGTTCAGACAAAACTGCAGCAGCTGCCTCACCCCACCTCTGCAGTCACAACTGGGCCTTGTGGGGGTGGGAAGGGGGTGTGTGGTCCAGATAAAATGCAGGGTGTGATTGCCACTGCCATGCCCCTCAACATGCCTTGGACGCTTGTAAGCCTCCATGCATAGAGTCTTACAAGCATCTGCTGCAGGGATAAGAGGATCACACTTTTAGAGGCATAAGAATACGACAATCTTGCAGTTAAATGGGCAGTCTCAGCTCTATGAAACACTACTACATAAGTTAAAGCCAGCATGTTGTTCTGCTGTGCCCAGGATGCTACCGAAAATGCTGACACAGAGTAGCACTCATGTAATAATGCTAAAGAACCAATGTACTGAGGCCATGCTCCTGGCCCATGCCATGGTGAAGAAGGAGATGGAGATAAGGCAGTTGTGCATGATCACTCCTACGTCAGAGGCTTTTGCACACCACTGCTGGAACGGCTGCATCTACATGACACTTTGCAATGGCACCTTTAGCCCCGTGGCAGTAGGTCAGAAAAGGAGGGAAGGGCCCCTGCCAGCTGGAACAGGTGGGCAGCTACAGATGGGACTTTGTGTCACAGTCAGTACGGTACTGGAAGTCCCTGGATGGTCATGTGAACCTGTAATGACATCCACTTGTCATTTGGAGGTCTGGCATTTGAAAATCCCTCTGCCACAGGGGAATGCTCTAATGACCTAAGCTGAAGTCTTGCACTGTGAAATCAGATTAGCTGAGTTAGTATTGGTCAACGCTTCTGTTGCTCGTCTGCCCACTGGAAGACCTTTGCACAAACCCTTGTACTCAATGGAAAATTTCAACATGATACAATTATCTAAGGTTTGCTCAACAGCTCAGCAGAAGCAGTACCGTCCCAGGTCTGCTGCCACATGAAATACTGCCACACGTACTCAGGGACATGACTTTAAAATGTAATTAAATCTGGGGCAGGATCTCTTCTTACTGGGAATTCTTAACGTTGACTGCATCGGTCTCTGCCACATGACCCAGCCGGGTGGGTTACGAGATCACTGGAGCTGTGCCTCTGGAGTAAGCCAGGGAGCTGCTGCCGCTGCCAACCAGACTGGCAGTTTTGCCCAGGGTTCAGCTGACTTTGTTGTGGTCTGCTTTTAATATATGTTACCTCCCTCAAGCTAGGATAAGTTGATTTTCTCTTAGCATGAAATTCCGGCTTTGCCTGAAAAGAGAAAGAGCAAGAAATGAGCTGCATTGGAGCACCTCACTGGACGGGCCTCTGGCACAGCAGGAAAAATTCTGCAGTGCATGATTTTTGGTGGTTCCATCCTTCGCTGATTGGAAAAATAAACAGAGCATGTTCACCTCCCCAGAATCTGAAGAGGGTGTGTGTAAAATACTGTAACTAGTGAATAATGATCTAAATATATGCATAGGATATCATTCAGAGAATGGCACAAAGCAGGAAATGACACTGCCATTAATGGAACAAGAAGTGCCTGTTTACACTGTAAACCATGGTAACTAATTTCAACTTGGTAATTTTGGCAAAGATTCAGAAATGTGCATGGATTGCAGGTCACTTACTCTGATGCATGGAGCCTTACGGTGCGATTTAGCTTTCTGTGAGGCATGTTTGGTGTGGGGAACAAGTCTAAACAGGAAGGTCAGAAAGCCATTCAATGCAGAAAGTACTGATTGTCATAACTGGTACATTCTGCACTGAATTGCCTTCTGACCTCATGGTTTACAATTCAACCACCACCACCACTGCTTTCAATGGAAGGGAAAATCGCAATGCTATGATTGGCATGATCCCTCCCCCAAATTCTAGGGACAAGTCTAGGGAAAATGGGTTTTGGGTGTTGCAGATTCAAAGCCTCTCTGGCCTTTTCCAGACACACATCATGGCATGTCCCTCTTTTTGTCCTTAATTAGAACACAGTCACCTGTCTCCAGCAGCTGCTTTTCTGTGGAAACAGTCGTCTGTAGCCCCATTAAGTTCAGTGTATGCCGTTCCCTGGCTTATGCCTGATGTCCCGATGCTTCACGGGAAGGCCTGAGGGTCACAGGCAGCTCCCAGTCCCCTCAAATGCAGCTCTCCGCCACTGGCTCTCACTCTGTGCATCAGCAGCTCTCTGGATTTGTGGTTTGTGGTTTTGATCTCAGCTACTTGAGGAAGCTTTGGAGGTGGGCAGACAGGCGGCCTTCTGCTCCTCAGCAGTGGTGGAGCTGAGGCCCTCCAGTGAGATGGGTGCAGAGTGCTGCCTCCTTGGTTTCTGGGCACCACCAACAGGGAAGTTTGGTGTCCAAGTTCATGACTGAAATGTGAGGAGAAAGTGGCAGTTGTCCTTGGTGTGAGCATCAAGGTCAGGAACAGTCAACCTCTTCAGATGGGGAGGATGGGCCCTGGGAGATGGGGTCTCCAGATATTGAGATGGGCGAGGTAGAGGGGCTTCTCTCAAGGCTGCTCTCTCCAAGTGCGCAGGCAGACTCTGAGAATAGCTGGGCTCTACAACTGCCGGGAGAAGGTATGGGACAGCAGCTCCAGGAACCAGCTGACTCTTGACACCATGTTGTGATGTCAGGAAGGAAGGTCTGACCAACTAGAGGGGCAGCACACTGAGAAGAGGCTTGCCTGCCCCCAGAAAGGTCCTC